TAGTGCTGGTACTGGTAATGGTACTGCATAATTTGCCAAGTACTGGTACTGGTATTTAAGTACTACACCCTTAGTACTGATGCAGCTCTGCCAGGCAGTTAAATCGTACTAACTTGCTAATACCAGAAATTTAGATAATGCACCAAAAGATATTTTGAGTTTCAAAAATGTAAGGATTCTGTAGTTTCGAAAAACGGCTGCGTAATAATTAATTGCAAGATACTGGTTTATTGAAAATTATTTTGATTTAAGCATTACCAAGACAAAGAAAATCAACAATATAAATAAATATAAATGTAATTTTTAAAAAAAATGTAGAGGTATAAAAAGTAAAAATTCTTTTGAATGTACATGACTGTATACTATTTGTGTCGACAAAAAATGCACTCTCAAAAAATCGTGCACGACACCAATATTTGCTGGTAAAGTAATATTTTCAACTTGATACTTTTTAATTCATACTCTGCTTATCAAATATTTAAAAAAAATCACACACAAAAAAAAAACAAGTTGTGAAACACTTTCACAGACATTCGTTATTAACTGAATTATAATTTTACGTATTTTTGACTGTGCCAGTTGGTAAGACTCTGGTACGAGTAACAAATCCGTAAGGCATGACCAATAAAGTCCCTAGGATGATCCATAACAAAATTCGGACCATAAATAGTTTGACAACTAACAAAAGTGACGTAATCTGATGTAATGTTATAACTCTAAAAAATGCACCCTGGTGATTTATGATATCACAGCCAAGTGCCGCTTGTATATACAACATATGCACCATGTTAATTAATATGTTACGGCCCAGTAGCGCTTATATATACACATCTATTTATCTATGAAATAAGTTACAGGGAAAATATTTTTAATATCAAAATTATCTTATTATCGTCTATTATAAAAGTCAATGCCACATGGTTTTCGTTCTTTCCGGAATATTTATAAAATCATATCCTTCACTGGTTCTTTAAAATAGTTTTTATACCGCATAATGAAAAAGAATAAATAAGTATTGACATAATGCATTCTGTTATTGTTCTATTAAAGTTTGAAAAACAATCCTTAAAAGACATTGGCAATCTTATTTTCATGTTTGTCACAAATACGCCGGAATTTTCTAAATAACAGAAAATAACACAGAAAACTAGAAAATGGCCATTTAAATTTATAAAAGGCAATTTCAATGTGTATGGGTGTTTATAAAATATTAAAATTTGATTTAGTTACTAGCTTTTTATCCTGGGTTACAGAAAATCTAGATCTAATAAATATATTTACTTGAAATGTCGCTGTTTCACTCCGTAGCGAGAATTAATCTCAATCTTTGTTTTTGTATTTTTTCTATTGCCTTGATATCGAATTTATGTATGCATGCGTAAATTTTTACTTGTTATAATCATTATTGAACGAACAGTATTTACGCATTTTACTTTTCAATAAGCTAACATTATGTAGGCCAAGCGACAGGGCAACATCACGACAACGCGCCGCACGACAACGCGCCGTTTGGCGATAACAATAGAGATTGTGTTGTCGCTATCGAGAACGCAACGCGCAAAGTATACCAAATTAGGCACCATACTTACCTAAGAATGAATGTATTGATTTGTTTTGTTTAATACTAGGAATAGCAATATTAATTTGCTATATGCACTTTTGCAAAAAGTAAAAATAACTTTTTGAAAATTTTATTAGGCTACGCTTACCAAATTGTAAAAAAGTAAAATTTATTATTTTTGTGTCCAATGCTATAGATGATTTTTGACGGATAGAGATCACTTGTCAGCACTACTCAAAAACTTCTAAAGCAATTTCACCCAAACTTTACTTTAGTCGGCATCTCAAGTACTTGCGTATATTAATTTGATGTTTGTTTTTTTGGTTGAATGATTGTTGGCCAAATTATGAACCTTGAATAAAAAAGGCTTTAAGGCCCGTTTAAGATTTTAGTGTCTCCTTCTCCTCAGTGATATATAGGGATCACTCCTCCGTCAGCTGTCTATCTGCCTGTCTGTCTGTCTTTCCATGAAACAAAACGGTTTCAGTTTGGTCATTATTACTTTTTCTACATAACAAAAAAAGCAAACAAAAACACTTAGACATACATACAGTCAATTTACATTTCCAACAAAGTGTCCAGTCACCCCTCAATATAACTGCCTAACTGACAATCAGCTCTTGTTTATATTTCATCGATAATATCATAATGAAATGACAGCACTACAATGCTAGTGCAGTGCATATACTGCGCTTCATCCGATATGAAAAAATGTATTTAATCTATGTTTAATGACATGTCTCATTATGAATAGATAAACTTGGACAAATCAATACATACAAGTTAAATGTTGATGCTGCACATCAAAGACGCCGACAAATGATGCGAACAGTCACAGGTAATGTACAAAATCAGAATTGAAAATCGTTCTCTATTACAGTTGAATATCCGAAGCACTTATTAATTTTTTTCTCCATGTTCTTGTCTGAAATTCTGAAATGTTTGTCTGTTGCGACAAAGATTGAAACGTTTGGTCCAAGCAATATAAATTGGATAACAAGTGAAATTGAAATGATTGGTAAACTTAAAATAAATTCAAGACAATATTGCCTAGAATATGTCCATTTAAATATTGGTGCGAATTGCATAATGTTCGAATGATTTTGAGGACGAACTGTCTGTTATTGTACAAATAGCGAAAATATGTCTGTAATATCAAATAATAGTTATGAATAAATTGATAAATATAATCAATTCTTTGATACATATTGTTTACTTATTTATAAAAGATTAAACTACTTGAATAAACAAAAGATTGCATATTCGCCTAGAATCTAGGTATTGAACCACAACAAATGTTATACTAGAAATAGTATAATATAAGGTTATGTAATTTCATCCAAATTTTATGTCTTTTTTGTTCGATGAACATCGATAAAGGATTTACGCATAAATTTAAGAGTTAATTGAAATGTTTATTTTGTAATTATGAAATCAATTTGTTACATGAACGATGGTACAAAATACCTTCTTATGATAGTTCATAAAGCCAAGCTTAATATCAAATTGAAATCTGTTTTGATTCAAAAGAAAAATCATTTTCTGTATTTCATCAATAATATAATGATTTGATTGCACATTAGTTCGTCCGATCTGTTAAATTATAAATATTTCAAATGTATAACAAACAAGCCAAATGAATATGAAGTGATATATCGCATTGCAACCACATAAACTTTCACAAATCAATATATATCTTTTCGTTATTGATCAGTTAATACGCCTATTAACCAGTCAAATCTCCTTTGGATTTTCCGAAAATTCTTCTTTCGTTTTTAACTATTTTCGAAAAGAATGTAAAACATGTAAAAGAAGCAAATTATTTCATATTTTTAGGATGTCGGTTTATGTTCTAAGGTGCAAGTATTGTGATAGAATAAGTTCAAATCGATGTAGTCGCTGCCTAAAGGTGAGCTACTGCACTAAAATATGTCAGACGTTAGACTGGCCAAGTCACAAAGTAGGCTGTTTTAAACATAGTTATAATGAAAGCGAAACGAACGCAAATTTGGCTTCTCAGGGAGTTAAACAGGAACTTGATGTTACAGTGCGGAAAGACCACGTAACCAGTGCGAAAACGGGCAATCATGAAAAAACAGTATGTTCTGAAAGTGATATGGTAAATAATATTGAAAAGGATACAAGCGATACAAATAAATTAAATGAGCTCAATGAAACCCAGTCGAGTAACGATCGCAAATCAAATAACGCAACTAAAGGAGAATCTACCCGAAATCCATGTGGGTTTTGCAAAATATCTGGGTGTTTAAAGACGTGTTCGAGATGCAAGGAGACTCTTTATTGCTCGGCCGAATTTTAGAGACAAGACTGGACTCAACATAAAACTAGATGTAAAAAGGTACCAAATTATTTTAATTAAAATATATAATCTTAAAATTTTGTGCCTGTCTGTTATATCATTAGCCTTTTTAATTACTCGTATTTCTAAATAACCTATATATGAAATACCTGTCTATTTCATCATTTCTCAATAGAGTATTAAATTAGAATTTGTGAACAAGTTTGTTTTCTTCTTTTGCTATGCAGGCATTGTCTGAAGAAGAGGAGCGAATCCTTAAATGTTGGAAAAGAAAGGAAGATCACGTTACAGCTACGAAAGAACTCGAAAAACATGCACAGCCAGGTTGTATGGAATTTTTGAACTACAAGGGTCCCGGTGATCGATTTTTTTCAGACATTGACACGAGAGCAAGCCCTTTTGAGATCAACGCCTCCTGAGGGTTCTCTACAAAAAGCTATCCGTATGACAAGAGCTTACTTTCCTGACTTTAAAGTTGTGTCAGCATTTGATGATATCCCCGATGAATTTTTCTTTCATGCTTTTACCCTAAATGGTACATGGAATGACAAATTTGTTCTTGTTGCATTCATGTATAGATATCACGAACACGTTATGCGACATGGCGTATACTTAAAGGTATGTCAACACATATTCTTTATGATGAAATGTTGAAGGACATATATAGTTTCCTAATACCATGGTTATTATTATAGAATAAGCAATATGCCGCAGAACTTTGTCTTAGGTTTTCAAAAATGACTGACGGAAAAAAAGAACATAGATTTCCAGAAGTCCTTTAAGTAAATATCTGTAAAATCTTGCAGAAAATATAATTCTCGTAAAGATTGATATAATTAAAGAGAAATTGATTTCTAAATAACGTTTAAAAGATCTTTTTCTGTACTTTTTTCAGGATGAACACGGCAATGAAAGTAAGGTCGAGTTTTATTTAGATGATTTTGGAGACAACCCATTTCCCTATTTCAGCTACTCCAAGGTTAAACCAGGTGGATATATTTGTCTTGTAGCACCAGTTATGCACCGATTCGGTGATGGAACAATTGGAATCAGAATCGATCAACCTAAACAAGTTCGCGTGCTAGATATAGCTGATGTAATGCGCTTTTCTGTTGAGCATTAAACACTTTATAATCATCACTTATTCTCACGCACATGTATATGTGTATTTTAATTATGTTAAGAATTACAAATATGTTACTAATAGAAAAATTGGCGAAAAAGGAGAGTGCTGCTTACGTAGTTTATAACAATATAATCCGGAAGTAGCCGATATTCACCGATTCAATAGGGTTCGTAATCCTTAAAATTTAACTAATATTTTAGAAATGTAGTTGAACATATAATAGTGCAAAAAGATAGACCATGAGTATACAATCTGCCTAAGTCGTCTAAAGGTAAACATCTGAGTCCTGGTAGATATATAAAATATTTACACAAGAATTTTAAATACGGCAGCATATATTACAATTTTCTTTAAAGTGATATAACTGGTCAATTTAATTTTAGTTACATACCCAATCTGTTTCGTTACAAAAGAAAAAAAGCCTAAAAAGGCCTTTAAGAGCATGTCATTCTCAATGTTTTTTGTTTAACTCTACGAAATTAGCTTTGCTATTTTGTTTATTTGTTTATTCAGATTAATTTGTTCTAAATACGTTTTTAAATATCGTTACCTAGTCATGTTTTGAATTATTTACATGTACATATATGTTATATTATATATCATATCAGACAATAAATTCTAGAAAAATAGGGCCTTTTATTGGTATTAAGTTATATTTAACACATATTTACAGCAGATACAGTGTAGTTAATCATTGCTGTGAAACTATCCAGCATTTTATATCTTTATTCTAATCGGTAATGACTTTTAGGTTCATACCATCTGAAAACAGCAATTGTTCTCGCACAGGGACGGTTATCTCCGATAGATTTCTGAAACATAACGGCATAGATAATTAGGCATACAACCTGAAGTTTAGATTTCGGATGTCGATGGTCTCAAGTCCTTAATAACTTTAACTTTGGTGGGATATTCTTTTAAGCAATCTAATGTGAGCACGTGACCGAAATAACTTATTTCGGGGTTACTCGAATGGAAGCAAATGCCTTTGTTTATGTCTCGTTCAATGACTGCCATGATTTTCCCTCGCGGACCTTTAAGTACCTATCATAAACACATCTTCTCTACCGCGTCAAGACCAACCAATGCTTAAACATGATAAACAATGAAGGTACTTGTATACTCTTTAATGACAAACAAACTAGCGTCGGTGGTTCTACTCAGGTGCCCGTTCGTGCCTGAAATATATATAATGCACGGAAGGGCACCTGAGGTCTTCCTCCACCAGTAAAGCTGGACTGTCGCGAAATGACCTATACTGTGTCGATGTGACGTTAAACCCAAAACAAACAAACAAACTAGCGTCTAACAAACATAATCTGAGTGTTTACATTGCAATGTATTCCTCATGCTGGACAACACGCTTACCTAAGAATGAACGAATTTGTTTTGTAACTAGCAATAACGATTAGTTATATGAGCTATAACAAAAGTAAAAATAATTATTTAAGATATTTCATTTGTTAGTGGTTTGCTTGTTTACCAAATTATCAAAAGTAAAACTAATTATATTTTTGTGTCGACTACTACTTGTGACAGATAGGAATCACTTGTCCGGACTTCTCAACAACTACTGAAGCAATTTCATCCAAATGTTACAGACATGACCAGTACTAAGTCTAGTTGTGAATAGCGTCGTCATTTTCCAGTCGAATGATTTTATGAGTTTAATGAGTTATGAGCCTTTAATTTGTTTTCAAAGTCTGTCTGGATTACTCATACACATGTACCACGCAATTTGTATGAAATGTTGCAGGATTCATCGGCAACTATATTTTATGTTTCTTTTTCCTGTTGCATGACATGGCTTTGGGCCGTTTAAGATACAGTGATATACTGAGATCACTTCTCCCTCAGCTGTCCGTCTGCCTGTCCGTCATTCTATCTATCTATGAAACATAACGGTTTTCAATGTTCAGCATCATCAGTTTGGTAATTATTACTTCTCTAAATTACAGAAAGCACTTAAACATCCGTGCAGTCAATTTACACTTCCAACAAAATGCCCAATCACCTTTCATTACAACTTCTTATAATTGACTATCATCAAGCGACACATGTTAATCACTGATCGCTTTTGTCTGCTCTTGTCAATATTTCATCGATACTATTCATTGAAATTGTAGCAATACAATGCAAATGCATATTGCGCTACCGTTAAATAATATATCCAATATAAATAAATGTGTTTTATGTATATTCAGTGACGTATCAAATTATGAATAGATATAATAGGACCAATGAATACATACAATAGGGATCTATTTGAATATGAATATGTTTGTAAGTAAACTTGGCAAACTTTCAGATCTGAAGTGGATATTTTTTCCGTTTATATAACTGTGTTTTCTGAAAAAAAATTTGAATTATATTTTTAAGAAAGTTACTTCTGATTTTAAGAGAAAGATGTCAATTTATATTTTAAAGTGCAAGTATTGTGATAGGAAATGCTTAAATCGGTGTAGTCGTTGTCTAAGGGTGGGCTACTGTACAAAGATATGTCAAACCTTAGACTGGCCTAGTCATAAGGTAGTTTGTTTTCGAAACGACACTAAAGCAGATGTAGCTTCTCAGGGAATTAAACAGGACCTTGATGTTACTTTTCAGAAAGACCATGAAACTAGTACTAAACCAAACAACAATGAAGAAACAGGGCAATCTGTATGTAATAATTTTAGAGATATGCTAGGAAATCCTAGACCATCGCCTGAAACAAGTGAAGACCAGTTAGATATTGTTAAAGAAAAACGCTCCTTGAATACACAAGATGTTAGTACAGAACATATTGACGGTATCACAGATGTAAAACACGATAACACGGAAGATTGTCGAGAGTTTGAAAGAAAATCAGATGAACTTAACAGTCAGAGGACTGTTCTAGATACAAAAGCTACAAATAACTCAGAAGTTTTCAAAGAAAATAAGGCAAATTATGATCTTCAACCAAATAACGCGACCACAGAAGCATTAAACAGAAAAGCATGTGGATTTTGCAAATCGTCTGGATGTTCAAAAAAATGTTCGGGATGCAAAGAGACATTCTATTGTTCGACCAAATGTCAGAGAGAAGACTGGAACCAACATAAAACTAGATGTAAAAAGGTACATACTTCCTTTTTTAAATCTGTAAGAAATTTAGTATCCTTCCCTTTTTCATTTAGTAGTTTCATTAGCTAAATCAACACTTTGATGTTATTTCTTTAATGCCAGTTAATGGAATACAAGTCTATTGTTTTTAAATTTTCTCAAGAGGTTATTGCAAACATTTTATACTATAAACGAATAAAAATTAAACTGTTTTATATTTTTTGTTTGTTGATTGGGTTTTATGTCGCACCGACACAGTATAGGTCATTTGGCGACGTTCCAGCTTTACTGGTGGAGGTAGACCTTAGGTGCCCTTCCGTGCATTATTTCAGGCACGAACGGGCACCTGAGTAGAACCACCGACGTTCCGTAAGCTAGCTGGATAGCTTCCGCACATGAAAGAATCCAAAGTCCCTGTCGAGATTCGAACCCACAGCGGTGAGGGGGAAATCTGTTTAATGTAGTTGTTAACAATTAATTAAACCGACAAAACAAATTAAACAAAATTGCGTTTGTTACTATGCAGGCTTTGTCTGAAGAAGACGAGCGAATTCTCAGATGTTTGAAGCACGCGCAAGAACAAAATGTCAGGCTGGCAGCTTTTATAGAAATGGAAAGAAGTGCACATCCGCCACATCAATTCTCTAGTTTTGGTCAGACTTACACAGGTCCAAGAGAGCGATTTTGCCAAACATTGACTCGAGAGCAGGCACTTTTTAGATTAAACCCTCCTGAGGGTTCTCTAGAAAAAGCTATCCGAATGTCAAAATCCTACTTTCCTGACTTTAAAGTTGTGACAGCATTTGATGATATCCCCGATGAATATTATCACTCTGTTTCTACCCTTCTGGATCCATGGAATGACAAATATGTACTTGTTGCATTCATGTACAGATATCACGTGCACGTGATGCGACATGGCGTATACTTAAAGGTATATAATAACTAATTATCAAAGGTTTAAAAGATAAAATCATAGCTAAATAGGACATCTTACAGTTTATGCTTCATGTATATTAATAGACAAAATAAGAAAATAAGCAATTAACCATTGAGCCTTATCTAAAATTTCAAAATCATTTTAGGAAATAAATGAACAAATATGCAAGAACATTAAGTAAATATCTGTAACATTTCACCGAAAATGTTGAAATTTAAACACCTTAAAGATATATTTAGTTAAAGAGTTTGACCGATTTCTAAATTAGGTTTTAGAAAGATATTTTTTCTATAACCTTTCAGGATGAACATGGCAATGAAAGTAAGGTCGAGTTTTATTTAGATGATTTTGGAGACAACCCGTTTCCGTATTTCAGCTACTCCCAGGTTAAACCAGGTGGATATATTTGTCTTGTAGCACCAGTTATGCACGAATTCAGAGATGGAACAATTGGAATCAGAATTGATCTACCTGAACAAGTTCGAGTGCTAGATATAGATGATGTAATGCGCACTTCTGTTGAGCATTAAACACTTTATCACCATCACTTATTCTCACAAAAAATGTTTTATACACATGTATATAAAGAAGTACAGTCATGTGTATTTGAATAATGTTAAGAATTACGGACTCTATAATAAGCATTAATTAATAAATGTATTTATGTTTTCTTTAATAATGATGTCTTCATTGAAGTGAGAAACACTATTTTGCATGACAAAAATGTTACTTATAGAAAGATTCTCGAAAAAGGAGAGTGCAGCTTCCGTGGTTTATAACAGTAGTCGATATTCAAAGGATTCCTAACCCCTTAAAATTAAATTAAAATTTTAGGAATGTAGTTGTACAAAAATTGTGTAAAAAGATAGATCATGAAATGGGTATACAATCTGACTTAAGTCGTCTATAGATAAACAACTGAGTCCTGGTAGATATATAAAATATAAATAAATAATGTGACAGACGGCAACATATATGGCAATTTTCTTTCAAGCGATACTGTTGGTCAATTTAATAACATAGCTAATATGTTTCGTTTCAAAAGAAAAAAAAACCTTGAAGATAATGTGTAACATGACGTCATTGTCTTACAACTATACCATTCCCCATTGTTTTTGTTTAACTCTACGATTTTTGTTTACCTCTACGTGACATTATGCCCATCCAAGGGTATATAGTGAGTGAAAAGGTGAAAGTCAAGTTTACAGTTTGCCATAATTCCATTCAATTTCATATATTGCTTCACACGAACGATAAATGACTCACATGGGCCAAGGAAATTTCTGCAAATATCCATCGGAATTTAGCAATAACATTCAATTTTTAAAAAGCGTGGGACAGTCTTTTTATATTTTTTGGCAGACTTAAATTTTATTCTAAAGATTTTTCCAGGATCAATTGATGGTAAATCACCATTATAACAGTAAATCTTTTGAAATATATAGTCTATTCGGCTCTACTTGACAATGAAAAATTGAACATAATGTCACTTTAACCTGTATATATTGTTTATTTGTATATTTAGATTACTTTGTTCTAAATACATTTTTTAAATATCGTTACCTTGACATGTGTTTAAATATTTTACATGTTTGTATTATGTCTGTTTTTTTTGTTGGATTTTAAGTAAGATAGGAATGTTTAAATGTAGAGGTTAAAATATGTTATATTATATCAGACAATAAAGTTTAGAAAAGTAGGGCCTTTAACCGGTATTTAGTTAAATTTACCACATATTCACAGCAGATACAGTGTAATTAGAAATGTAATGCTAAGTTGAGTCTATAAGTTTTGTAGTCTTAAAATTTAATTCATAAACATGCATTCTTTACTATTGATAGTTAATCGATTATAAGATTGCAAATCAAGTTGTCAAAATATTACCAAATAATTGTACACCTCATGTGCGTTTATAAGTTGTGCTCTGTTGTTGCACATGTATTACTGATCAATTATGTCACATGCTTGACAGCGTTATGGTCACAAGGCAAATGTTCTCCTTCAGTGCTCGTTTTAACTCTTATATAAATAAAACTTTCTAATTAAAACTTTTGGTTCAAACATTTGTTACAGGTCAACTCTAGGCAATTATTATACATGCATATATCCGAGCATGTTATACATAATGTTTATTTGTTTGTTACTACAGATCTACGAAGTTAAGTGGATAAGATCGACGATTATCTTTATTCTAATCGGGAATCACTTTTAGGTTCTTGCAATGTGAATACAGCAATACATCTCTCAAAGGGCCGGTTATCTCTGATAGATTTCTGAAACTTAACAACATAGATAATTAGGCATACCATTTCGGATTTTGGATGTCGATGGTCTCAAGTCCTTAATTGCTAATAATTTAGTGGGATCTTCTTTTAAGCAATCTAATGTGAGAACGTGACCTAAATATCTTATTTCGGTGAGAATAACTTTTGATTACTCGAATTGAATCTGATGCCTTTGTTTAAAGGTCGTACAATGAATTCAATGATTTTTCCCTCGCGGACCTTTCAGTACCTATCATAAGCACATCTTCTCTGCCGCTTCAAGACCAACCAGAAGCACTATTTACGTACTTCGGCGTTACCTATAAAAACGATTTAACCCTTTCCCTAATAGCATATTGTAAAAAAATGACCGTTTTCATTGAAAAGCCTCCTGTTACAAGTTCAAACTGCTATGAAACTATAAAAAATGCTTCAATACTAATCAAACTTGGCAAAAATGTTGACTGGACCATTGCCTTTGTAACGACATGCTCAGTCTTAAATTTCCTGTTACCATGGCAACGAGGGGATGTCTCAAAATTGCCAAAATCACTATTTTGCCTTGAGATTTTCCATCAAAATTTATTTCAAAGTGCTGCAACTTCTCAAGGGAGAAGATAGAGTCAAAGGCGTTTCAGCGTTGGTTACACGGTACCTTATGATCGACCTGGGGTCATTTTTAGCCTCTCACAAGTCCAAAATTTTCTTGGCGATGAGGGGGACTACCGCCCCCTTCAACCCCCCCCCCCCAAACAGAAGGGGGCACATCCCCCTTCTGGCAACCCCCTGATGTATCATTTTGGTGGCGGGCGGCGCCGAAAAATTGCTCACTCTTTTTAGCAACGTTTCTCAAACGAAAACATGTGTTTGATGCCCAAATATGACATTTTTCATTATTTGTGCGTTGTCGTGCGGCGTGTTGTCGCGCTGTCACATTGTCGCTCGGCTCAAATCCAAAGTTGGCTATGTATATACATATATATATATATAAGCCAAGCGACAGGGCGACATCACGACAACGCGCCGCACGACAACGCGCCGTTTGGCGATAACAATAGAGCTTGTGTTGTCGCTATCGAGAACGCAACGCGCAAAGTATACATAATCAGCCACCATACTTACCTAAGAATGAATGTATTTAATTGGTTTTGTTACTACGAATAGCCACAGGTGCTCGGCCAGTCTTGGTGATCATACAACAAAGAAATTGAAATTAACAAAAAAAAC